ACAGTAAAAACTGTAAAGATACCTGCAAAAATTTGTAAAATAAGAACATTTTTTAGCTGATTTAAGGGAAAAAGTCACGAAGCTATAAAATAACGTCATTTGTCAATCCTTGTTATCAACAGCAGATATGTGTGAAATCATATTTTTGCTTACGTAAAGCAAAGATTGTGTACTCTTAGCAGACAGATTGTGTTTTTCCAGAGTAAACTTGGAAAATGAAACTTTTTTTCTGTGATTTTACGAGTAATTTAAGAAAACAGAGAACGTCTGTAAAACAACAGTAAACTGATCGAAAAATACGTTTGAAAATGTTTTTAAAAACACACATTTTTAACAGTGTACGACGCAGACAGGTGGCAAACACCTCCACACTAACATGTAAACATATCCTAATGAAACCGGAGAAGGGTGGAGGCTCACCGAGCACCACCAGACACACAAATACAAACGGACGCCATCATCTGGTGTGTTTGGCAGAGCAATGAGCAGTTAGACAGCGTGAAAGTAAAACCAACTGTGAGCTCTTGGGTTAGCATTTATTGCCTGTTTTTCATTTTATCTAAAAGTGTTTTGGTTGTGTTGAAACTATTCAGCGTTGGTGGAGTAACTTTGTCATATCCTAATTATAGAGGAGCTGCCTAGGGGTCAGAAAGGTCAAGGTTTAAGGTCAACTAGAGTAGATATGTTTACCCCTAAAAGGGTTTTGTCTTTGGAAAGATGACCTCGGGTTTCTTACGTGGTATGGATGCTATGTCGGTAAGTAAGTGAATGTATTTATAAAGCGCTTTTCACAGACAAAGGTCACAAAGAGCTTCACAAAGGAGATATAAAAATACAGGAAAACACAAAAAGTGAAGAACACAGTACACAACAACAACACACAAAAATAAAGCAAAAACAGAGCTGGTGCATACAAGTTAGACAAATACCTGTCTGAACAGGTGTGTCTTTAGCTGGCTTTTCAAACCAACGGGTGCCGGCAGAGCATTCCTAAATTTACGTGCTACGGCCTCAGAAGCTCGATGGCCTCGTGTCCTCAGGCGAGTCCGAGGGACAGACTACAAATTTAACACGTTTGACCTGAGAGTGAGCTGACAGATATGGATGAAGCAGCTCAGCAACATCAGCAGGAGCGTGACCGTGTAACGCGCCGTAAGCAGTAGTTAAGAGTTTTGAACTGGATCCTGAGCGTGACAGAGAGCCAGTGACGGGGTTTCAGTATCGGGGTAATACAGTAAATGTATTCATACCCTCCCATTAAAGAAGGAAAAGAACAGCCGTCAGTGAAATAAGCTGAAACTGACAAAAGTAATTAGAAATAAAAATTTAATGAAAATCATGACATTGCTTTTGAATTGTGGTTAAACAGAAATATGATGACGGGACCCGTGAACTAATATTTCGTTGAACAACCCTTTGAGCCAATTTCTGTAACTCTCAGTCAAACTTCTGCACCTGTGGACAGGTGTTCTGGACCACTGCTCATCAGCAAAGTGCTCTTATTTGTCCAGGACAGTTTTGTTTTGTTTTTTTTAATTCTTAAAATTTAGCAAATTTTTATTTATTATTACTTTTGTCAGTTTCTGGTTATTTGAGTGACTAGTGTGGATTTTGCCTTTTCTTTAATGGAAGGGTTTGAATAAATCTGAGGGCGACTGTATGAGAGCATCTATTTGATCTAGTTAGTCGTCTTGAGGCAGCATTCTGGATCGCTAGCAGATGATTAAGAGCAGAAACACTCAGTGAGCAGGGGGAGAACATGGAAACTCCACGTAGAAAGATCCCGGGTGTCCTCACCGGGACGCCAACCGGCGACCTTCTAGCTGCGAGGCGACGGTGCTAACCACCGAGCCACCTTGCAGCCCTATAAATGATATGCAGCACCACATTGATTTATCATTTGTCCCAAGGGCAGCAAACATAAAGAGCATAGCAGAGAAGCGAGCCCTGCGGGACGCCACATGACCGACGGGAGGAACCAGACGCAACAGAGACGGAGAAACTCCCGTCAGTCAGATAGGATGGAAACCAGTGTAACGCTCTGCCTGATGTGAAAACGCAATCATGTAATCTCTTATTGAGGATGTGACGGTCCACTGTGTCGAACTCAGAAGGTTTAAACGTACAATCATTTGACAACGAACCAACAGGACAAGAGCTACTTTCCTGTAAATGCTGCTGTGAAGCCTCTCCCCCGTGTTGAGTCGGGTCGTCTCCGTTGTGATGATGTCATTTCATCGTTAACAGTAATTGATTTACGGACAACCCAACAGTTTGTTTGTTATCTTATTCAAGGGTCCTGGGAGTGAAATACCCCCAACAGCAGGCAGCTAGGTCATTCAGTCATCACATGCAGACTAAATGCAATAATGAGACGGGCATTTAAAGCCATGTGACCGCCGCTGATAGCTGATTTTTCACATTGGATTTATTGATGGTGCGGGGATGTAAAGACACGCCTCCAGATAGCATGTGGCTTTTATCTAGTCTTCTTTTACCTATATATTTGTTTTGGACTACTGGGGCAGCTTGAGACTTTCAGGAGGCTGAGAAACATAATAAATAGCAATTTTGTTTTTTATTTCTCGCAAAGCACAAAGAGAACTGTTTGATACAGGTCAGTATCGGCATCTTGTGTTTATCAATTTGCAAACTGTGAGTTGATCTTTAAATCCCTGTCGGTGAGATGATTCACTTAGACTGAAGTCAAAACTGTGATTTTTTTTCAAATAAAAAAAAAAAAGTTATTTCAATCTGCAGAAAGAAGGTCAAATGAACACAGTGTTAAATGTTAGAAAAGGAACGGAAAACTCTCTCTCGTGTTTAATTTATGTGCAAATGACGCCATACATTCCAAGCTGTCAGTGTAAGATGGATACGAGTTCAGCTTAAAGGAAAACTGGCCGCACGAATGTATTCCAAAGTTTAGAACATTCAGCGTGTTTTGTCAGAAATGTACAAAATAGCCGAGGTCATGGTTAAAGGTGTTGTTGTACTGGAATAATATTTTAAAAGTTCTCTGACTTAAATGCAGTCCAGTACAACAGCATCAACAAACAAACACCGACTGACAAGCTCATAATAAGACTGTATAATATTCCGAACCAACACGACGGTAAAAGAACAGTTAAAAGCTGAACACAATAAAAACAATGATTCAGTGAAACGAGATCATCCTAAATGCAGGATGACGAGGTGAGGTTTCAGTTTTCAGCACTTCCAGCCGAGCTCGAGGCGTGAGCGCTAAACGTTACCTCACCCAATGTTTTTGGAACATTTGGAACAAGTATGGAACAAATAAATGACTCCGGCTAGAAGACCAGAGAGGCCATCCCAGTTCACAGACGAGTGGGCTGGCTCAAGATTCAGAACACGGAGTTCTCTCCAAACAGTACACGAAAGAAGTGAGCACTTCCTCTTGAGATAGTGTCAAGTGGCACAACATGGAAACATTAAAGTACAGGAGTCAGGGCTGGAAAGTTACCGAGTACATTTACTCTAGTACTGCACAGAAGTACATTACTGAGGTGCTTGTAGTATCCTTCTGTTTTCTGCTGCTGTACACGTCTGTTTCACTGCATCACTAATTCTAACGTATATAAATAGAATAATATGAAATACATCATTCTGAAATATTTGATCTCATCCTGATACAAATACTTCTGTACTTGAAGAATAAATGTAAACACATGACTTACTTGTAACTCAGTACTTTTACACTTAGATGTTGGTATTTTTTACTTAGGTATGAATATAAATGCCTTATTTTTCCTTGCAACAGAATACTTCTACACTGGCATTAGTACTTTCATTTCTGAATTTAAATGCAGGCCTTTTACTTCAGAGTACTTCTACTGTGTGGTACTTGTACTTGTACTTAAGTAAAAATGGAAATTCAGGACATTGTTTATAACAGAGTACTTCTACTTTAATAAGCATGTCATATAAGCATGAATGTCAATGCGTGAATTGTACTTGGAACAGAATGCTGTTTCTCTGGTATTACTACTTTAGGTATGAATGCAAATGCTGACTTTTAAATGTAACGGAGTACTTCTTTGTTGTGGTGTTGGTACCATAATAACTGATAACTGTGGCGTTGGTACTTTGACTTAAGTTTATTGGTAAATGTGTGAATCGTCCTTTTGCAGAAAGTTTATCTTATAATGGTACTGTCATTTTGTACTTAAGTATACATGTGAATGCATGACTCTTATTTGTTCCAGAGTACTTCTACAGTGTAGTACTTGTACTTTTACCCAAGAAAAAATGTAAATGCATGCCTTTTACTTGTCATGTAGTACTTCCACTGTAATATTGGTACTTTTACTTAAGTATAAATGTACATGTGTGAATACTTGTGGCAAAAGAGTTCTACATTGGTATCAATACTTTTACTTGAAGTGTAAATGTACATGGATGACTTTTATTTGTAAGAGAGTACTTCTTAACTATTGTACTCATACTTTACCAAAGAGTAAATGCAACTGCATGACTTTTCATCATAAGAAAGTACTTTTACACTGTTGCACTGGTACTTTACCTAAGAGTAAATGCAAATGCATGACTATTCCCTGCAAGAGAGTACTTCTACACTGTTGTACTGGTACTTCATTAACTAAAGTAAAAGGTCCGAGTACTTCTCCCAGCGCTGCTGACTTCACAGCTGAGCTATGTGCAGCTTGTGCCGCAGTGTCAGTGACCTCCAGCAGCAGCAGAGTAATGGAGCACAGCTTGAATAACTCGACGCTCCGCGCACCGTGTGCTGCTCTCAGCCTTCACGTTGAGCTCTGCAACGTGAGCGCTGTGTTACCGTTGCTGTGTTACGTCGGCGGGGTGCGTGGCTCCGCCCCTCCGGTGTCCTGAAAGTGTGTCACTGGGTTAAAGTGGCTCGAGCGGTCGGGCGGAGGGGCGTGGCCGACAAATGGGTCACATGGGCGAGCCCACTATTGAGAACATTTAGTTCTCTTGACTAACCCGCAGTCACACACAACAAGGGGGAGTTCCTGCCACTCAGCTGCACATCCAGCCGAGCCGTCCTCCGTCAGAAGCTGCCGGAGGAGTCGCCGTTCATGACTCACCGCCCGGGACCTGCACATTATTTCCACAAATAGATTCCTGCCTGGTGCGAGCGTCGTTTCTCTTCAGCTCGCAGAGTTCAGTTCCCGTGGCTCTTGTGGAGAGAAGTCGTGACAGACTCCATAGTTTAGCCGAATACCTGCTCTTCTTCTTCTTCCTCGATCGGAGATGCCTGAGGACGTCGGGACCGCCAAGCCCGGTAAGAGGACACTGAGCGGTGACCGTGTTTAACCGGGCAGAGGATGTTATCAGTGCATGGTCTGGTTTGGTGCAGTTAACATGTAGGAAAGCTGAATTTATTGAGCCTTTTTTTAAAAGGCTATTTCAGGTTGGTGGAGAGGAAAGTTGCTAAAGTCATTTGTGTCATTGACGTGTGAAACTATATGAACACACACATAACAGATAGATGCGCTTATTTGTGCAGTAATGAGTGTTGTCAAGTATTTTAGAGACCACAACAGAAATGAATGGTGTCCTAGAAACTGGAGCAGCTTTTTTCTCTGTCCACTGCAGCATCCTAACCGCTGACCAGGCGTCACATAATGTCGGCACACTTTTTAAAAATATTTCTATTACACTGTTTCGTGCTTAAACCGCAGCAACAGAGCCCATTTGGGCCGTAGAACCGTGCTGCGGATCGGGGTTAGGAGTGCCAATGCGCCGCTGCTGCATTTACATTTGACACAACAACAGTGTTCCACTTCCCCGGCCGCGCTCACATGGACAGCGTAGCCTAGCCATGTGCCTGTGTGTACACGCTCCCGGGAACAGCGCTCTGATTGGTCGAGGGGGCGGTCCCGTCTGAGCGCACGCTGCAGCAGAGCTCTCCTCCGATTGGCCGCGACGCAGCCAGTGACGCGGCACGTTGCATAATCCGCTGTGTGCACAACAGTGCTGGCGCGAGGCTCCTGTGTGCGGTACACGTGAGGCCGCCCGAGACAGCAGCGGCTGACCTAGATTCTTGCTGCCGCTCGAGCTCCGCTTACACAGAAATCCATGACAGGTCCACGTGTGGGTGGGCCGTGAAAGGGAACAGTCATGGTTGGGGTTAGGTAATCGTCTGCTGCTTTTAAAGTCAGGGGCTTTTTTTTATTTTCTTTCTGAGGAGTTACTGAAGAAAAACACACTTCATGTTTTTAACACATCTTCCAGTAAACACCTGCAGGTGCACATTTTTATGCGTAAATGTTGTTTTTGTGTGGAAAGTATGTCTGGTATTTTTAAACTGAAGCGCAACGCCCTACTTCACTTCATTCACTTGATAGAATTTGGTTTTAACAGTTTTTGGCTTCTGTTTTTTTTTTTGTGGTATTTTTGTACACATTTCAACACACTGTAAATCACTTTATGATTTATTTATATTACTTCTATCACCTCCAACTGACTTGCAGCATTTGCTTTTCAAAAAACCCAGCTTTTCTGTTTTTAATTCCGAATGTAAAACTTGAAAATAAAACTTTACCAGCCTCAGAACTTGGACACCACTGTGAGCTGAGCTACATACGTTTACTTTGGTTTGACCCAAACATCTGTATATTCATTCAGCTTCAGTGAAATAATCAACTGGACTTCTCTTTTTTGTTCCTAATCTAAAGCGTTATATGAACACCTGAATGCACCAATCTGTAAACTCAGAGAAGTTCCTGGAGCGGGGTGACCACAGTTGTTATCTGGCCCAGCATGTCATTACATAACTCCCACGGTGGATGTTTTCCCTGCTGTATTATTTAGTTTCTGCAAGTGTTACGTTGCCCTGGTGCTTCAGTGACCCTGTCTGGTAATCAAGTCAGCGGAGCACGCTCCCATAGCATAGAGACCCAGGCGTGTTATGTAATCGTGTTATCCAACCAGCAGGCAGTGGAGGTGATAAAGTAGGTCAATCACAGCCAACCAGGAAACACACACACACACAGATTGGATTCCTGGGCGTGTCAGAAGCACCTGTATCTACCACACTGACACGAGTTTGTTTATTTGGCAGACGGAGCTATCGTTTTCGTTAATCACTGTGATCGACGCGCTAACTCTTCTTTATCATCTCTGGCTCACATGAACTTTGACAAGCTTGATGTGTAGTAAAGTTTAAAAATAAAGTTTGATGACTTTATATGGTTGTACGTGCTGCAGTTCTGAGAATTACACTTACGTATAAACAACATGTCACGTGTCCCTTCCATGTGTTCACCTAATGCAGGAGGCCATTTAAAAGTCAGAACAGCAGCAATGTCTGAGCAAATAATTATGTCATGAAAGAGCCTCTTCTGTATTGGAGCTAACCGGCGTCCCTCCCTCTCCACAGGAGGCGTCATAGCCTACATTTCCTCAGGCTCTGCCTCCACCCCAGAGTCCTGTATGAGCAGCAGCCCCAGTGGCGGCTACCTGTCGACTACACCGGCTGTGTCTCGCCCCTCGCTGCCCAGCAGGGCTGTCGGCATGGTGGTGGACATCGCTCCACCAGCCAAAGGCGGCCACTCGCGCAGCCACGGCACGGAGAAGGCCGGCCGATCCTCCACATCCGCCAAGAGCAGCATCACGAGTAAGCACAAAACTCAGAGTCTTTAAATCACTGAAAAAGAATGTTGCATGTCTGATCCGGTGCACATGAATCACTGCTCATCTTTGTCTTCGCAGAAATCAACGGCATGGTGCTGTTGTGCAAGGTATGCGGTGACGTGGCCTCGGGCTTCCATTACGGCGTCCACGCTTGTGAGGGCTGCAAGGTGAGACAAGTTCCTGCAAACATGCATCACCCTTCTGCTACATTCCTTCTTTCATGTCCTCTGGTTCACACGGCCAAGGCTCACAACGGGGATCTTGTTGTTGTGCAGGGCTTCTTCAGGAGGAGCATCCAGCAAAACATCCAGTACAAGAAGTGTCTTAAGATGGAGAACTGCACCATCATGAGGATGAACAGAAACCGCTGTCAGCAGTGTCGCTTCAAGAAGTGTCTGGCCGTCGGCATGTCCAGAGACGGTGAGCGTTTAGATCAGTTTCAGTTTGTAATCGCAGTTGGTTCTTAATTGGTCCTGTTAAATTTAACACAATCATTTTCCATTCTCAGCCGTTAGATTTGGTCGCATCCCAAAAAGGGAAAAACAGAGAATGCTGTTGGAGATGCAGAACGCCATGAACAATATGATGAGCAGCAACAGCCAGCTGCACAGCATGCTGCACGGCCACCAGAGCCCCGCGCTTCCCATGGAGGCCATGACCAGCGACGCCAGCTCGTCTTCGTCCTCCTCCTCCTCCTCCTCCTCCTCTGCTTCCAACTCTCCATCGTGTTCCAACCCCTCCTCCCCACAGTGTCCCCAGGACTCGGAGTCTGTGGTTTCCATGGACACCAACTCCAGCTCTGCCTCCTCCTGTGCGGACAGCAGCGAGGACGAGGCTGTCGTCACGGTGAGCAGGCAGCACCAAGATGCCTTCGCGTTCAGCCAGCAGAGATCGCCGAGACAAGGCCAGGCCTCATCCTCACCGGCCACGGTTGCCTCGGAGACCGGGTGTGACAACCGCATGGAGGAGCAGCAGGAGAACTGGAACTGCTGGAACAACAACGTGGACGTGGGAGGGTACCAGCACGGTTCCTACAGCGGTGGCCAACACACTGCTAACTCTGCTTATAGGGAGGAGAGGGAAGTTTACCAGCTCAACAGCGCCCCTAGCTGTGAACCATCAGAAAGCAGCCAAAGACAACAAGACATCAACAGACAAACTGCCTCAAGTGGTTATAATGGACCAAGCAGCTGTGGGACCAGTAGAGCACACCTGGTACGTTTTTTCACACCTCTTAACAACCAGCTAAAAACCTGATTGGATTTCGATCGCCCTCTCTGATCAGCTCTGCGTTCTCATGTTTTCCAGGTCTGCCCGATGAACACGTCACCGTACGTGGACCCCCGCAAGCCCAGCCAGGAGATCTGGGAGGAGTTTTCCATGAGCTTCACCCCCGCCGTGCGAGAGGTGGTCGAGTTCGCCAAGAGGATCCCAGGCTTCCGCGACCTCTCCGAGCACGACCAAGTGAGCCTGCTGAAGGCTGGAACGTTTGAGGTAAGAGGGCAAACAGGCTGAGCAGGACTAGACAGGCTCAGCGTCAACACTTGATGTTATTTTGTGCTCGCTTTGAAGTCGGACACTGCAGGCTCTTCAGACACTCTAAATACAGGGGCCACTGTGGCTTCTCCAAACAGAGCAGACTGTCAGCTGTGTGCCGACTAATATTTGTTCTGATAACAGTCCGGTTGGAAATGAAAGAGGCTTCACAAATTCTGTTACATGTGGTTCTCCTGACACATTAAAGCCGTTCCTATACAGATAATTACATGTATGGAGACACGGGTGTGGTGATTCCAACTGTTGGATGTCTTTTCAATGAGTCTTGTGCAGCGTCGCCTCTGCTCCTGTAGATCCTGTGCGTCTTTAGCACAGAAGTTATCTGAAGGGTGACATCATAAAACGTTTAATTCACCTCACATTGAACCATTGTCAGAATTATTATTCACAGTATCCTGTCATGCGTTTCCTGCTTTTCATCATGTTGAATACTTCTTTATCTGCACAAATGAAACCACAAATTAAATCCTTCTTCCCTCTGTTGACTTCCAGGTGCTGATGGTCCGGTTCGCCTCTCTGTTCAACGTGGCTGAGCGGACGGTGACCTTCCTGAGCGGGAAGCGCTACAGCCTCGACACGCTGCGGTCGCTGGGCGCCGGCGAGCTGCTCAACTCCATGTGCGAGTTCAGTGAGAAGCTGGCAGCTCTGCGGCTCGACTCAGACGAAATGAGCCTCTTCACCGCCGTGGTGCTCGTCTCAGCCGGTAAGAATCAACATATGCTGATTTATATATTGATCACTTTTTGTGGCACAGCCAGCAGCATCACTGAAGCTGCTCGTGCCCTCCAGTGTTGACGGTTCCCTTCTTTTTGCTCTGGTTCAGATCGCTCAGGGATCCAGGACCTGAACTCCGTGGAGGCCTTGCAGGACAAACTGATCCGGGCGCTGCGAAACCTGGTGATGCAGAACCACAGCGACGAGTCCGCCACCACGTTCACCAAGCTGCTGCTCAAACTGCCTGAGCTCCGTTCACTCAACAACATGCACTCGGAGGAGCTGCTCTCTTTCAAAGTGCACCCTTGAAGGCTTCCTTAGGGGGTACGGCGGTGCCCTCCACCTCCTCCACACACCTCCACCTCCACCAGTACCTGCCTCTGACTGCCCCCTCGCGTCCTGTATTCGACCAACCCATTTGAGTGTTTGTTTCTAGACTGTGTAAAAAGTTATTTTTTATTCTATTTTTGTTAAGTAGGCCACGTGGGGTCTGAAGAGAGAACAATATAAAACGTACTGTATTTATAGATGAGATCGCTTACGCTTGTTGCACACAAACACACAAGTGCACGTGTGTCAGAGCTTTTTAGTTTTGCAGTTGGATGCATTTTTCTATTTTCAAGAAGAAGAAGAAGAGTATGTAAGTGGCTTCATGAAACTACAGAATCGAAATCAGTCAGTCAGTGATTTTAATTCGATTTTTTTCTTTTGATGTTTAACATTTGTTTCCAAAAGCCATTTAATTCCAAAGTGTATTCTCTGCTGAGTGAATGAATGTGAGAGACAACATATACTGTACCTTACACACGTCTGTTTGGTCCAATGCTTTGACTGAACGTGTTCGGCGAGGAAGGCAAGCTAACAGAAAATGTATTGAAGAATGTGTGACGATCGCTGCTAACGTATGGCTGTAGTTACTGCAAACACCTAAACAAGTCTTGTTTGGATCTTCTCCCCTTGCCTCAGAAAGCATCAGTTCATTGTCTCGATGTAAATAGTGTCGTGTATCTTTTCTTTTATTTAATTTTCTTTTCGTGTCCACGGCAACTGCCTAAACACTGCCTGGTGATTTCTGGGGGAGTCGATGACGCCATTTAAACACTACATTTGCACAACTTCTGGAGCAGAAAACCCAAGTACCGCTAAATCCACAACTAGTGTGACACACCATCATGTAGAGGTTTCATGTAAATGTAATTACAACAGTGTTTTTGCCATTTTCCCACTTCTTGGTTTTTACTTTTTGTTTTTTTTGTAAATCAAACTGTGTGTTTTCAGCATAGCACTGAATCTTGACACTTGTTTTTTGTCATGATGTTGAAATATCGGTTTCTTCTACTGGCAAAACTGCCACATGTAAATATCTATATAAATATATATATATATAAATATATGATGAACATAGAATATAAATATGATATAGTATGAATAAAAGCAAGTGAAGTATACTCTGTGTGGTTGGTGTTTTTATTGATGCCCAGCAATACTACATTTTATATTGTACATTATTATAAATAATAATAAGAAATTATGTGTATATGTAAAATGGGGCTCAGTGGTTAGCACAGTCGCCTCACTGGTTGTCTGTCTCTAAGTGTAGCCCTGTGATAGACTGGTTACCTGTCCAGGTGAACCTGCCTTCACCCTGAGTCAGCTGGGATAGACTCCAGCCCCCCACCACCCTAGTGAGGATTAAGGTGTAGAGATGATGGATGGATGGAGTTATATGAAATGTACATACAATTTTATTGGACAGAATGTATACAGTCGTCCTCAAATGTATTCATACCCTCCCATTAAAGAAGGAAAACTACAGCTGTCACTGAAATAAGTTGAAACTGACAAAAGTAATAATAAATAAAAATTTAATCAAAATCATGATGTTGCTTTTGAATTGTGGTTCAACAGAAATATTTTTAAAAAACAAAAAAACAAATAAAAACAAGCAAACAAGCATGATGGGACTCATGAACTAATATTTAGTTGAACAACCCTTTGAGCCAATGCCTGCCATCAGGTGTTTCCTGTAACTATCAGTCAGACTTCTGCACCTGTTGACAGGTATTCTGGACCACTGCTCATCAGCAAAGGGCTCTCATTGGTCCAGGACAGTTTTTTTTTTTTTTAAGTATTCTTTTCAACCACAATTCAAAAGCAACGTTGTATTTCACAAAATTATAATTTTGTAAATTTTTATTTATTATATATTTTTTCAATTTCTTGTTATTTGAGTAACTATTGTGGATTTTGCCTTTCCTTTAATGGAAGGGGATGAATACATTTAAGGACGACTGTATAATGCTTGTAGTAGCAGTGATTCCTCTTCACCACTAGATGGTGCTATACACATACAGTATATATCTAATTCACCTTCATTTCATAATTAGCTGAGCTCCAAACTCGAACAAACAACTTTAATCTGAGACTACTTCCATCAGTACCAGAGTGAGATGTGGTTACACAGTCGGGTGTGATCGTAGCAAAGCTGTGAAAAAACTGCTTCATACTAAGTGTAAGTCTCTTAGCCAATATTAAGCCCAGCAAGAAATGGCTGCAAAATACCAACACAAAATCAGTGGTTCCCAAAGTCTGTTTCTGGTTACAAGACAGTCAAAATTTAGCCATAGCTTAAAAAAGTTTTTTTTAGAGTGAGCCTCTAATACTGCACGTCTGAAGATTCTCAGTCCTCCAGGTCATGGTTGTTCTCGTAGTTTAATCGTATCAACTGGACCTGCTTGAGTTCCTTGAAGACGTTCCACCTCTCATCCAAGAGGCTTCATCGGCTCTGACTGACTAGTTGGGAGTTCCAGATACTGATACCCTGAAGGAGCCATTAACGCCTGAGTTTCAAAATGTCTTCAAGGAACTCAAGCAAGTCCAGTTGCTACGTCTAACACTGTACGTTTACTTTTACTACAGCTTATACACGGAGATCAGTCCAACTGATGTATGCTGTGACTGGCCGAGAGTAAATTTCTATAAAATAACTGTTTGTTAAGCAGTTTTTCAAAGGATTCTGAAGGTCAGGGGCTAACAAGTTTGCAAACCACAGCCTTAAAACATCTGAGCACACAGAAAATCCTGCACCACTTACATACACAACTACACATTTGAGGGTTTTTCGTATTTGTCAAGATCGACAGAGTTGTCCTTCCCACAGAAAGATTAACACGAATAGATTGTTTTTATGTTCAAATCTCTCCAAAAATCTGTTTATGTTGCCAAACATTCATGAACCGAGACTCCAATGACATGTGAGCCTGTAGGACTGATTCTAATTCACCTGTAGTTCAATTCCAATCAAATTTTAAACTTTAAAATGAGGCCTTCTCCTGTTTCGTGCCATTGAACAACTTTTAGAAGACAATACGGCTTAATGATCTTATCGTCTTGGGACAGTTTGATCAAAAAAATTTGTAACGGAAAAGTGCAACTACTAAACTGTATTTAGCTTTACGCACCTTTAGTCCCATTGTTGTTGCTGCATGTCTGTTGTTTTACTCTTGATTTTATGGTGGCTGGACATGGTGTTTATACTTGATATGATTATTTGAACAGATGAACGTGGAACCTTCAGGCATCTGGACATTGTACCCAAGGATGAACCAGACTAGTGGAGGTCCACAATTTTCTTCCTGGTATCTTGGCTGATTTCTTTAGATGTTTGAAGCAGTGTGTTTGAGGTGTGCCTTAGAATACATCCACAGGTGTGCCTCCAGTTAACCCAAATGTTGTCAGGTAACCAATCAAAAGCTTCCAAAGCCATGACATCATCACCTGGGCTTTCCCAAATAGTTTGAAGGTATCTTAGTGAATGTAAACTTCTGACTGAGAAGAAAGTGATAAAAAAAATTGTCTCTGTCATTATTGTGGCATTTAGCAAACAGAAATAATGTTGGTAATCCTGACTGACCTAAAACAGGAAAAGTTGAATCTGATTTAATGTCAGACAGTGAGAAAAAAAAGGTTTTATGTCTTTTTATATGGTGGATGTAAACTTCTGGTTTCAATCGTATTTCACATTCTGCTCCATTTCTAAGTCCGCAGTCAAATTTAGGGAAATTTTTGGCAGTGACCGTGTTAACTGATTTGGCAGTGGGTCAGATTTCCTTGAGTTGTTTCCTTCTTTAAAGCAGCGTTCATTTCTAACACGTTCACATGTTAGAAATACGTCTGTGTCTCCAGTTTCCAGCAGAACACTGTGGAGACCGGATCAGCTGTACCCAAAGCACAATCAAGAAGCCCAACAAATCAGCACAACGGCAGAAGATCAATACATCAGGTTTTGTTCACTGGGAGCAAAACAGCTTCATTGCGGGGAACAAAATTGAGCAAATAAAGAACACAAGACGTCCTGTCAAAAGAAAGCTGTCTAGTCTCAGTGGACGAGTCTGTGAACCACTTAATGCTGCAGCAGGATAATAAAATCAAACACATCTTAAAGCTTTGACTTGAAAATCAAAGAAGGTCAAGGAGTGCTGAGTGTCATGGACTTTCCTCCGCAGTCACCGGACTTAACATTTATGGAGCTCTTGAAGACTGAGAAAGCAAACAGTCGATCTTTGTTATCTCTTTGTAATGCAGAGAATCCAGACCGTCCTTATAATCATGGCTACAACTGGGAGTCAGAACTGCAAAAAGTCATCTAACATAAGCGTTAAATGGCAAAAAACATGATCAGGGGCAGCAGATATAAACTGAACGAAATAGAGGGAGCTTTGTAGGTTGCTCATGACACGAGAGCAATCGATGAGCCGAAGCTGTCAACAGTGACTTTGGATATATCCTCGGTAAGTAACATAAACAGCAGCGTCCACCTGGATCAACCCACTTCCTGAGTCTGCTGAGGAGAATAATGTGATCCACCACATTAAAATATATCCAACAGAAAGAAAACAGTGAGTCCACACTCATCGAGATACCATGTGTTACTCTGAGCAGGCCGTGGTGCTGCTAGAAACCCGTCATAGGAAAACATGGGATGTCACAGAGACACCAAAAGTCATGACAACCCATCCATCCATCATCTCTACACCGCTTAATCCTCACTAGGGT